TCTGGTCCCAGGGAGAGCCTAGTCCTGGGCCCACCCCTTTCCCCTCCAGCCCCTCCCTCATCCCTGCCCCTCCCCACCTCTGCACACACACCTCACCCCCCCCCCAGGGCTTGGTCAGGTCCTCTGACCAGTGCAAAGGGGATGGGCAGGACCTTCCAGGGTGCTGGCAGGAGGCAGGAACCGTGGGGCCGCCCACCTCAGAGAAGCCTGGGTTCACCTGCTACTTTGGACTCTCCCCACCAGGGGGCGCCATGGTCTCATGACAGTCCCAGCCAAGTGTCCCAGAGATGACAGTGACTTTTGGGGACAGGAGAGGGAGCAGGGGTAGGCCACAGTCCTGACCACAACTCCAATGCCTCCTTCTCCCCTGCTCTGTGCCCCCACCCCTGCCTGGCCGGGCTGCTTTGGACACACTGGGCGCTGGGCCATGCGGCAGGTCAGTGGGCAGGCAGGGACCCAGGCTCTCACCTCCTGCGCCAGGCCCACCACGGAGGCACCTCAGAGCGCTGCGATGCTACACTTCTGTAACAGCAGTGAGTCTGTTACATGCTCTTTGCCCCCCAAGCTCATTTACTGAAACCCTGACTGGAGCGATGGGGACTGGGAGGTGGTGCCCACACGGGTGGTCATACTCTCACCAAGGGACACCTTGGACGTGCCGCCACGCTGTCGCCATGTTCTGTCCAGCAGCCCCACGTGGCACTGCCATAAGAAGAGCCCGGGCCCAGGAGCAGCCTTTATTCTGACCCCAGGGCAGGTCAGGGCGGGCTACATGCAGGGGGCAGTGCTGGCGGCATGCAGACTCCGGAAGACAAGGTCACACAGCAGAATCCCAGGCTTGTTAAGGAGACAGCCAGGCAGCTGCCACCCTCACAGCCTCATCACAGTCCCAGGAAGAGTCCCAGCCGCCCAGGAGCCACTCCACGCAGCCACCTGTCCGGGTCATCACAGGTCCTCAGCTGCCTGGCCAAGGTTGCAGCCTGCAGAGTCTCACAGCTCATCTGCACAGCGCTGGCCATCATCAGCCTGAGGACCAGGGAGCTCGATCCTCTGGGGACGACGGGAGGGCAACCCCCAAAGTGTAGACACCTCCCACACAGTGTTCCCACAGCCCAGACAGTACTTGCAGCTTGGCTTAAGCCAGCCCACCTTCCCCCAGCACACAAGACTCTATCCTGATTGGCAGCAAACTCAGACCCTATCCAGAGACACCCTGGAAAGTTGCATGGGTGGTCACGGGGGTGCTGAGCAGAACACACCCCAAACTGCCACCCTTCCATGGCCGCCATTACCTCCTTCTTCCTGCCCCTGGCCTCTGAATTAAAGCAAAGGAAGAGGATAGAGGGAGCCGTTCCGTCTGGGGGGTCCCTAAGCCAAGGCTTAGGACATGGGCCTCCACTCTGGTTGACAAAGCAGCCCACGGCGGTCAGGCTTCCCCTGCCTCTGGGCCACTGCTCTCCTGAAGGGGAACAAGCCAGTCAGGGATGAGCAGGTGGCAGCATGGGGGAGTCCATGTTGCAGAGGGCTCAGGGCAGCAGATGAGACTGTCCGAGAAGCAGCTGGCCCTAAGCTCCCTCCCAGGGTGGCCCTGGCTGCACAGTGGGGTCAGGACAGGCAAGCGGGCAGCTCCGAAGTCAGAGTAAGCCCCATCCCCAAAGAAATGCTGCCCCTGCCCTCCCTGGGCAGCCCAAGCCTTTCTAGGAGACACAACAGGGCTGCAGCCAGTTCTGCCTGGGGACGGCACGCAGCATGTAGCACACAGGTGCCATCTCCAGGCACCTCGGCACCTGCAGGTCAGCTGGCTCAGCAGGGCAGAGGCCAAGTCACCCCAAGCACGGGCTCCAGTAGAGCACATCCTCTGGGATGGACACCTTTGAACAGAGCCCTTGTGTCCCCCTAGCGTTGCCAGGAAGGTCACTAAGTCAGACGGGGCCACGGGGCAGCCCTGACACCCCGAGCTAACTGTGGTGTCGCTGGCCAAAGGGCAGGCTCAGGTGTCAGCCTAGAGAGCAGTGACCTGCGTGAGCTCCGTGTTGGGTGTGGACGGGCTCTGCGGGCTGACGGGCACCATGGGCAGGTCCACGCCTAGTCATGCTGGCCGTGGGACTGTCTCAGAGGTCTTGCAGGCGAAGGCCGCATCCTTGGCAATGCTGCGCACACGGTCAGACGCCTGTGTGTCCCGGCGCAGGGCCGACGCACAGCAGAACTTGCGGAAGCAGGCCTTGAAGTTCTCGTCCAAGAAGGCGTAGAGGATGGGGTTGAGGCAGCTGTTGACGTAGCCCAGAGCTGTGCAGAAGCGCAGGATGGCCACGGCGGTCTCACTGCCCGGCTGCACGCCCAGCCCTTGCACCAGCACGAAGACCTGCACGGGCGTCCAGCAGCCCACGAACACGGCCACCACCACCAGCACCAGCCGCGTGATGCGTCGCAGGTTCCGGTCCTTCTCCCGGGAGCCTGAGAGCAGGCGGACCCCGCGGAGCCGCCGGACCATGAGGCTGTAGCAGACAGAGATGACAAGCACCGGGAGGACGAAGGAGAAGAGGAAGATGCAGACGGCGAACACAGGGCCCCAGTAGTCCTGGGGGGCAGGGATCTCCACCAGACACTCGATCTCTGCGGGGAGAGAAACGCGCTCGGAACAGCCCAAGACATGGGGGCAGAGGGCCACTGGGAGCCAAGGGGGCCTGGGGCAGGGAGGAGGGGCCCCCACTGACCTTCATCCTCCACCTGCGCCGAGCCCATGATGGCGACAGGAACACCAACCACAGAGGCCAGGGCCCAGATGGCCACGTTGACAGCCTGGGCTTTGCTGGATGTCCGGACATCGAGGGCACGAATGGGGTGGCAGATGGCCACGTAGCGGTCCACGCTCATGGCGGTCAGCGTGAAGGTGCTGGTGAACATGTTGTAGTAGTCGATGGCGATGACAGCCTTGCACAGAGCATTTCCGAAGGGCCAGAAGCCCAGGAGGATGTCTGCACCCTGGAAGGGCAGGGTCAGCAGGACCAGGGTGTCTGCCAGGGCCAGATTGAAGATGTAGATGTTGGTGGCCGTCTTCATCTTGGTGTGCCTGTAGAGGACAGCGAAAAGGTGTCGGAGGCCACCCTGGCAGGGCCTGGAAGCGAAGGGTGAGAGGTCCCTCTTCTCAGCCACCACAAGGGGCCTCACCTCAGAGTCCCTCCATGTCAGAGGCCCCAGGAGCTTGGCAGATGGCAGCTCCCAGACCCAGCCCATCCTAGCCAGCCCCCCAGGGGCTCCACTCTCGCAACAGGACTCCACACCTGCAAGGCCAGTCTGCTCTGGGAAAGTGTGGGTCCTCGGGCTCACTCCTGACTGCATGAGAGCAAGGTCCAGTGTCTCCCGAGACATAGAGAGGACACGCGTGCTGGCCTTACAGCGGCCAGAGATCCCTGAGGGCCCAGATCCCCCCACAGGCCAGTAGAGCAGACAGGAGGCGGGACGGCATGGAGCGGTCTGACTGTGCCCACGCACTGGGACGAGATGGGAAGCAGTGGGGACCAGTACACACACGTGGAGTGGACGAACAGCCGTGAGTGTGCTGTGGCCATCTGTGTGTGGTGCACAGTGGCCATCTGGTGGCAGCAGCGCTGTGACTACTGCCACGAGGGAGTCCCACGAGGGAGTCGGGGATGAGAGAGGCCCCTCGGAAGGGGTTACAGATGAGCAGGGGCCTCAACCCTGATTGACGACAGTGACAGCAGATGCAGCCAAGACCCCCTCATCTCATCTGAGACGTAAAAGAGGCTATCTGGACCCCACTTCAAGGGTCACACCTGCTGCCCTAAGGCCTTAGAGCCAGTGAAAAGCAGAGCAGAGCTGGACTCAGGTGGCTCTGACCCCCAGGATGGTCACCTCTGTCCCCTGGCTCGAAATACTTGTGCTGCACCCAAAGCTGGTGTGGCCACAGGAGCCTCTGGGCTCTGCCAAGGATGCGGCCTTTGCCTGCAAGACCTCTGAGACAGTCCCACGGCCAGCATGACTAGGCATGGACCTGCCCGTGGTGCCATCAGCCCGCAGAGCCCGTCCACACCCAACACGGAGCTCACGCAGGTCACTGCTCTCTAGGCTGACCCCTGAGAAGGTGGGCAAGGCCGCCTTCCCACCTGCTCTGACCCGGGGCAGAGACACAGGAGGAATACCAGTCACGATGGCCGGGGACAGCCTCCCGAGGGCCTTCTCCTGGGGGTCAGCTGTCATCCCCCCCGTCTGACCATGCATGTGCACAAACATGTGTGCATAGGCGGTCATGTGGTCCACCGTCCTCGCTTTCCAGATTGGGGAAATCATGACCCAGAGAGAAACAGGGTTTGCTTCGGGAAGCACGGGACGGGTCTGCAGGGCCTGGGTGGCCACTGCTCGGCCTGCCCCGCCAGCACTGTCCCTCCACTGACAGCTCAGCTGGGCGCTCACGGGGCAGAGGGCCTGACAGCCTTGAGCACTGGCCTCAGAACAGGCCTCCTTCACGCTGCTGCACCATCTCCTGCTCAAGGACCTCCCATGGCTCCCCTGCCAAAAGAACAGCCCCCAAACCTGGCATTCGAGACTCGTTACCCCTCAACCCCTGTCTGGGTGGACTCAGAGCCCGCCATGCGTTCTGTCCAGACCTCCTTGCCGCTGCCTGGTCACTCCACCCCCCTGCCAGAGCATGCCTCCTGTGAGGGGCTCCTGCCCACCATCACTGTCCCATGCTGTCCTTCACTGCCCCCCACTGTCCCCTTACTAGCTCCCAGGGCTCCTCACTGCCCCTGCTGTCTCCACTGCCCCCCACTGCCCCTCACTGCCCCCCACTGTCCCCTCACTGTCCCTCGCTGCCCCTCGCTGTCACCCACTGCTCCCCACTGTCCCCTCGCTGCCCCTCACTGTCCCTCACTGCCCCCCACTGTCCCCTCACTGTCCCTCGCTGCCCCTCGCTGTCACCCACTGCTCCCCACTGTCCCCTCGCTGCCCCTCACTGTCCCTCACTGCCCCCCACTGTCCCCTCACTGTCCCTCGCTGCCCCTCGCTGTCACCCACTGCTCCCCACTGTCCCCTCGCTGCCCCTCACTGTCCCTCACTGCCCCCCACTGTCCCCTCACTGTCCCTCGCTGCCCCTCGCTGTCACCCACTGCTCCCCACTGTCCCCTCGCTGCCCCTCACTGTCCCTCACTGCCCCCCACTGTCCCCTCACTGTCCCTCGCTGCCCCTCGCTGTCACCCACTGCTCCCCACTGTCCCCTCGCTGCCCCTCACTGTCCCTCACTGCCCCCCACTGTCCCCTCACTGTCCCTCGCTGCCCCTCGCTGTCACCCACTGCTCCCCACTGTCCCCTCGCTGCCCCTCACTGTCCCTCACTGCCCCCCACTGTCCCCTCACTGTCCCTCGCTGCCCCTCGCTGTCACCCACTGCTCCCCACTGTCCCCTCGCTGCCCCTCACTGTCCCTCACTGCCCCCCACTGTCCCCTCACTGTCCCTCGCTGCCCCTCGCTGTCACCCACTGCTCCCCACTGTCCCCTCGCTGCCCCTCACTGTCCCTCACTGCCCCCCACTGTCCCCTCACTGTCCCTCGCTGCCCCTCGCTGTCACCCACTGCTCCCCACTGTCCCCTCGCTGCCCCTCACTGTCCCTCACTGCCCCCCACTGTCCCCTCACTGTCCCTCGCTGCCCCTCGCTGTCACCCACTGCTCCCCACTGTCCCCTCGCTGCCCCTCACTGTCCCTCACTGCCCCCCACTGTCCCCTCACTGTCCCTCGCTGCCCCTCGCTGTCACCCACTGCTCCCCACTGTCCCCTCGCTGCCCCTCACTGTCCCTCACTGCCCCCCACTGTCCCCTCACTGTCCCTCGCTGCCCCTCGCTGTCACCCACTGCTCCCCACTGTCCCCTCGCTGCCCCTCACTGTCCCTCACTGCCCCTCGCTGCCCCCCACTGTCCCCCACCCCACTACCTTCTTGCTGGCCCCTCTGCCCTTCAATGCCCCCCACTCTCACAGAGAGCCAGGTCCTCCCCCCAAGTCAGGCTCCCCCTGAGGAGTTAAGGTCCAAGGTCTCGGGGTTGACCCCACCCCTGGACAGGGCGGAAGCAATGTATGGGGAAGCATGAAACCCCCACCGCTCGGGCTGATTGGGGCCACCCCGCCTCAGTCTCTGCTCACCTTGGACACTTACCTGAGGATGACATACATGACCAGGCAGTTCCCCAGCAGCCCCCCGACGCACACGGCCAGGTAGAGCCCCACTATGGTGACCTTGAGCCCAAGGGGCAGGAAGGCACCGTGGGTGGCGTTGAGCAGCAGGTGGGGAGGCAGCAGGCTGTGGTTGGGGCTCAGGAGGGACAGGTTGCCCTGAGGGTGGCCACCGTAGAGGACCTCCCAGAACGGGGCGGGGAGGAGGGACTCCATGCCACGCCTCGCAGTGTCAGCAGCACCTGGGACAGGAGGGGGGCCAGTGAGGCAGCGTAGCAGTAAGTCTCCGTGCCAACAGGACGCACAGCAGGGTGTGACCTGGGGCCACATGGACACAAGCCCTCGTGCACACGCATATGCACACATACAGGGACATGTGGAGACATGTTTGCACAGATAACCACATATCACAGACACACATGCCCACACACGTGCCCACAAGGACAAGTCTAGTTGGTCTACGCACTCACACACAGGGCCACAGAGACACAGGGATGCAGGGACGCAGGGACATACATGTGCACACACAGAGAGAGGTCATCCCGCCCTTATGCGCACACGGGCACTAAAGAGGGGACACACCCAGAGAGCCTGGACACAGGACACACGGTTGAGCCAGAACACTGGACACAGCAGCTGAGCCTGGACACTGGACACTGGACACAGGACACAGGACCCAGCAGCTGAGCCTGGCTCTCTCCCGTCCCCCACCCCAAGCCCTGCCAGGCAGCCCAGGCTGTCGGTGACCCCAGCCCCTCGGGCCCTCACCTCAGCAACCTCCTTGGAGGCTGGGCAGGAGACCCCCTTCCCGACTGACCAGCCGATGGGCAGGGTAGAGCAGGGCTGAGCGATGTGGACAGGGCTGCAGCAGTGGCTCCTCCTCAGCAGACACCAGACCAGACGCAGCAGAGCTGGGGGAGGGGAGGAGGCTGCGGCTCCGGAGGGGAGGGGCCATGCAGGCTGGAGGAGGGGGCTGGGAAGGTGGCCACACGCTGGGTGGGGGACAAGGCACATGTGAAGAGGTGAACGAGAGGTTTAGACAGACCCATGCCCAGGGTGAGACCCTAGGACAGAGACATCTCAGGTTTGCAGACACAGGGATGGCAGACAGGACACAGACAGACACTGGGACAGACTCAGAAGATACCCACAGACTTGCAGGCACAGAGCTGGGACCACAGCTCACATGCAGAGGCACAGGCTGGGATAGACAGGCCCAGACCAGGCTCAGCTGGTGTCTCCTGCCCGAAAAGGGTGCCCTCAGCCCGGCTCCCAGGGGTGGCTGGGAGCAAGCCATCAGGGCAGCAGGCTGGACTGCCCGGCCTGACCACCTCTCAGCAGGTCAGAGCCCTGTGGACAAGCAGGCAGGATGCCTGCACCCAGGACACGGCACCAGACAGGCCTACCGTGCATGGCACACCAGGCACGGCACCGACCGGAGCTCGTGGACCTCCATCTGCCCTCCTCCGGGCACAACACCAGCCTTGGAGTGTGAAGCCATCCACCCACGGCAGAGACAGTGGAGCCAGGCCCACCTGTCACGTGGAGACCCAGCAAGGCACTTGGGCCAGGGCGGGGTCCCAGAGCAATGTCTGCCCCAGCACCCACACACCAAATGCTACAGAGCGGCCCTTTCCCAGCCTGGGATTCCAGGAACAGCACCCCGGAGGTGGCAGGTCAGAGTTAGAAGTCGCATGGGCAACCTGAGCTGGAATGCCAACCCTCACCCTGCAAGGCTTTGAAGGCTCCAGAAGCCAGACTCCCCACACAGCTCAGACCCTGCTCAGCATCCTTCTCTAAGGATGAGGACCTGGTTGCTAGGCGACAGGCAGCCACGTCGCTAGGATACCTGGCGATCAGGAGAGGACGGAGCAGACAGACACCCCAGGACTTGTCTCCAAATCACCAATGCAGCCAAGACCCTGGACGCGAGGAGACAGGCGTGTCCAGATGTTCGCGCAGAGGACACGCATTCCT